GTGTGATAAGTCAAAAACAAACTCGCAACTCTGGATCACATAAAAACAGAAAAATAACTTCATTCAAAGCTAGCCTCAGAGGCAGGCAAGAGCAAGCGCATCTGGGGAAAGAAACAAAAACAAGTGTATAATTACTATAATAAACCATGACACTTTCACACTGAAGACATAATAGAACAAAAGGTTGGATAATATGAACTATAAAACTCAGATGGTCAAGATACCATGGTTCATTCTTTTCGCCAATTGTTCATCATTAAGAACTACACAGATGCTGTGTAATCCTCCATTTTTTCTTCTTCTTCTTCTTTTTGGCTATTTGAATCACAGTCTGGTATAACTGAATTGTAAGTGACTAAGGCTTATCCCAAGAAGTAAGTTTATTTAGAGAGAGTCTCAGATATAACTTCATCACATTCTAAAATCTGTTTATCATTAGAAACAAAGAAAGGTGGTAACAGATCATTTCTATACTCCACATAAGAATCATTATTATTGTCATAGTGCTATGATTATGAAGTATTTCAGAGCCTGAAATGTTTTTTCATATATGCATTACAGTGTCTGAGAAGGGTTATATGGTACTTGACTTATTTCATAGAATGTTCTATCTAACAGAAGTTAGTTATTCCCCTCAACAAACTCTTTTGGGGGTAGACCAATTTGTTCTTGACCACAAAAACATACTTTTTATTTATTCTCAGAATTTGCTCTAAAATACTATCAAATCATTCATTATACAGTTATATATATCTACCACTTCAGTCTTTGGTCTTTCCTGTTAAAATTTTATAAGTAATTTCAATAAAGATTAGATGACCTAAAATGAAAGTGAGGATTTCATTCAGTAGGTAGATTTGATAAGATATCACTTAATGTTCTTTTCAACTCTATGATATTAATATTCTGATAGAAAATTATGGGATGTGACAGCTAGAAAGGACCTTAGAGAGCCTCTCATCTAAACTCATTATCTTATCAGATATTCAGAGAAGCAGAGTGACTTATCTGAATTTATGCAGTGAATTAATAGAAGCAACAAGGCTAGAGGTCAGATCTTTCTTCTCCCTCTTGGTCTAGTATTCCTCCATTGCTGTACAATGGTTCTATAGGAACCTTCAAAGTAGGTTATTTGGCATGTTTGGTTGATGAGATAAAACTGAAGCAGGGCTGAAGTAAATACATTGTGGGAGAGCTGGGATGAATTATGTTATTTAAGAGTGACTAATTTTTCAATTTATTTTATTTCACCTTAATGTGGCTAAACAAGTGATTAGAAGTGTGTCTTAGTCACATAATAATATATAAAAGCAATATAAACCATTCAACCTTATAACCATCCAGTGTGAGCTCTGGAGAGATGGAGACATGCTAAATATTTATCTTTAAAGCAAATAAGAACAATCCAATCTTTCAAAGAATGGAATATGAGAAATTAACACATGAGTATAATTTAACAACATAATCAAACAAAAAAGATACCATGCTTATTTTCTCTTATAACTTTATATCAATCTTAGATTTATGTTATGATGAGAAGCGTGTGTGTCTGCATGAAGATCCTTAAACTGGTTAGAAATAGCTACTTTTGCTCATCATTCAGCATGTATCTGGCAATCTGGTATTATAAATAATATCTCATTTAATCAGTAAAACATCCTTAGGAGGTTGATATTATTATAATCTTAACTTTAAAAATGAAGAAACCAAAGAATAGGAAGTTTAAGGTAATTACTCAACATTACAGCTTGAGATTATCGATTCTGGTTTAGAATTCAGCATTTTGGCTCTATAATCCTTATATTTAATGTTTTTTTTTTTTCCACAACAAATGTTGCTATTTCACCATCTGGCATTAGAAGGTACCACGCAGCTGTAAGGCAATCATTCGTGTACTTCACGATCATGATAGACCAGGGAATTGTTCAACCACTTAGTAACAGACTATCCAGTCACCATATACAATCAGGCAATTAATTCTATCTATTTCTCAAGAATAATAGCAGATAAACTAAATAATTATCATTACCCAAGTGCTACAAAGTTAATAGTTTTTAGTAGGCTACATGTAAACAATCCTAAGGTATAAAAGTTGCTCCAGCCTACATTATTCCATAGTAATAAAGCAGGTAACTCCCATAAATCCATCAATGGCCAAAATCTGTATTTACTCACTGAATCAAAATTATATATGGAAACACGTCTGAATTCAGCACTTGGTTAAATGGAATTTGCAAGTTAATGCTTCATCCCAAAGAGAAAAGAACACATGGAGTGACCTTATTCACAAATGACAGGCCTAACATCACCATCTGACATTTGGAAATTTGGAACTGCACAAGTATTCACAAATTTACTGCACATTGTGAGGTTAATGAGAAGGCTGTTGGCTGGAGACAATTGTATGAATATATGATTTCTTGCCTTTGCCCACACAATTTGGCAAGAGAACTTTCTGTTGGCAGTGAAAAGAGGTGCCTATTTTCATGATAAAAAGTATTTAAAACATGCCTACATACAATCAAACATAATTTTAAAATAATTGACTCAGTGTGCCATGCTAGTAAGTGGTTCTCTTAATGATTTTGTTCTTATTTCACACAGGGGTAGCTGAAAGGTAGACATAGTTTTGTTTGGGTTTCTGTTTGAGTTCTGTATTCTTGCTGATTTTTGGAAAATCGAGTATGTCAAGGTCTCAAAATTATATTCCTTCAGATATGTAGTCATAATTTGAATACATCTTTATTTGGCACATTTTATTCATTCTTCAGGTACATTTATAGGGATATTTTAATGTGGTAACCAGGCACCTTCATGGTGCTGGGGATGTAGTAGTGATAAAGATATACATTCTTCTTGCCTTCATTAATTCACAGTGAAGTGGCAAAGGCACAATAAAGAAATAAATAGACCAGGCTCAGTGGCTCACTCCTGTAATCCCAGCATTTTGGGAAACAGAGGCAAGAGGATTGTCTGATTCCAGGGGATCGGGGCCAGCCTGGGTAACCTAGTGAGACCATGTCTCTACAATAAATAAAAAAACATTATTTGGGCATGGTGGCGCATGCCTGTAATTCCAACTACTTGGAAGTCTGAGACAGAAAGATTGCCTGAACCCAGCAGGTCGAAGCTACAGTGACCTTGAGCGTGCCACTGCATTCTAGTCTGGGTGACAGTGAAATTCCAATTCTTCATTCATTCATGCATTCATTCATTCATACATTAAGTTTTATAAAGTGAAAAATATTAAACTCTGATAGACAAATTATTTTTCAGATAGAGTGACAGAGAGCCACTATAAACTCAAGCAGAAACACAAATGATGAGAAAAACTGTATATAGAAAGGGAAGAGGCAGCGAAAGGGTAAAACATACTGGCAGCTGTATGGGCAAAATACTGAGGCAAGAAAAGTTTTGATATGTTCAAAGTGTTGAGTAAGGCCTGTGAGGACGGTAAACATTGGGCAGAGGGAAATTACAAGAGTTAGAGTCAGAAAAATAGGTGGCAGGTCAGGTCGTGCATGGTGTAATAGGGTACACTAGGGAAGGGATCTTATTCTAAGGGCAATAAGTATCCATTTGATACCTTTAAGCAGGAAAATCACAAGCTATAATGGAAGCCTACATGCAATAATAAGTACAAAACCACAAGAGAATTAAACAGTCTGTTGTAAGGTGCATGTGGAGGCCATAATGATATCTTTAAAAAATGAGATCCTTAAACACACGAGTGGCTATTCACAATTATAAATAACTTGTTACAAAGGTATTGTATACAGGTATAATGTGCAGTTTATAATGCTGAATATATTCAGATGTGTCCTTTTAAGTACACAATATCCTCATTTTTTCACATAGCAAGGAAGGGTTTGTATTTAAGAGGTATGGAGAGTTCTTGAATGTCCTTGGTTTTCTTGAGATCTGAGAGAGGGAGAACAGGATGCTGGGCTAAGAATATACTTCTGTTTTATTGTCATTAGTTGAGCTAAGGAAATTATAGAATATACCATAGAACTTGAGCTGGTAGGTTCTGTGCTATGGGTATGCTAGAATACTACGTTCAACGTACAAATGCAGTAAATGTAGGAGTTGATCATCTGTCCATAGTGAAAATACAAAACACAGTATAGACAAAAATGAAAACCACAACAGAAGTGGGTTTGTTGCAAAGGAGAATGATCAACCTTTGAGAAGCACAAACACAAGTAAACATACTCCTTGGTGTAAAGTACAGTCATAAGAGAAAGGGAGTTAAATCTTTGGGTAATTAAAAAAAAGCAATAATTTCTACATAGGAAAAGTCTATATGAAAAGGAAGTATTTGAACTTGGCCTTGAAAGAGATGAGAAGAACAAAATGTTAGGTGAAAAGAGAGTTGTTTATAAGGCAAGGGCCACGTTCAGCACTTTGGGTGAACAATAAGAGGGGATGCATGGTAGAGTCAGTTCCCTTACCTTCTGTTCCACTAGAGAGACCAGTGTCTGAGTGGAATGAGGTTGGGTTCAGCTGGACCCACTATTTGACTAAAAATGTCTGAACATCAAATCACCATGTTCTGCCAAGTTGTTATCTCTCAATACTCCAATGCTGAATGTTAAACAGTATTAAATTGTCTGTTTCCTCACACACGCCTCATTGTCCACGTACCAATATGCAAAGTCATAGTGGCTAAAAAAATGCTAGCTTGGGTAACATGTTGGGACTCATATTTGACAAACCCCACCCTGAATGAGTCAGGTTTGAAACTAACATGAAAGCCATTTGGAAGACTCAAAATGAACTTGCACCTTTGTTAATAAGACATCATTTTCATATATAGCTAAACAAAGTGCTAATGAGATGTTATCCTTCAAATTAGCTTAAGCAATAAGATGCAAAGAAGTCTTGAAAAGAAGCCAACACCCATTTTTCCGAGTATATAATCTTCTCAGCAAATAATTTAGTTTTCAAACTCAGCATGTTGGGGCCTTATGATCAAACTCAATTAAGGGTATAGCAATATGCCTCATAGCCATGGCCACTCACTCAGGAGATTCTACAGTGCCCCACCACTCTCTGCCATGGAATACGGCTCTAATCCTATAAGCTTTGAAGATGGATTTTGCTTGCCCAGCAGCTGCCATAGCAGAACCTGGCTCTTGGACAATGTTCAAGAAACCCACAATGAAACAACCACCAGCTGCCACCTGACCAATTGTGAAAAAGACCTTGTCACAGAGGATAGCCGTGTGCAGAGTACCTGCCTCCCCAGAGTTGTCCAGACAACTTACTGCAATCCCAGGCCCTGTGAAAGGACAACATGCCAATCAGAAACTGCCTTAGCAGCGTTGGAGTGTGTTTCTCAGCCTTACCAGTCTGGAAGCAGTCAGCAAATGGGTTTTGTTGTCCAGTGTCACCAACCAGCAAGCTACTTGGAAGAGAGCTGCCTATCTAAGACTTCTATGTCTACGTGTTGCCAAACTCTGGAATGTGAATGCAGCCAAGACCAATCTCAGAGATCTGAATCCAGTTCCTGTAGACCTTTGGTTAATGTTGCACCTGAGCTCCAACTCTTGGAATCTTCCAGCACTTATGAACCAACTTGTTGTGTTACTGGTGGTTTGCAATTGCCTAGTAAGTGAAGAATCTATAGGGGAGATGGCATGTTCTCATTTAGATTGTTTTTTTTTTTTAAATTAATTATTATTATTATTTTTTTTGAGTTGGAGTCTCACTCTGTCGCCCAGACTGGAGTGCAGTGGCTGTTCCCGGCCACCGCAGCCTCGACCTGCTGGGCTCTGGCGATCCTTCCGCCTCAGCCTTCTGAGTAGCCGGAACTACAGGCATGCGCTACCACACCCGGCTGATTTTTTGATTTATTGTAGAGATGAGGTCTCGCTGCCCAGGTGGGTCTCGAACCCGCGGGCTCAGGCAATCCACTCACCTCAGCCTCCCAAAGGCGCGGGATTACAGGCTGAGCCACCGAGTCCGGCAGAGATTGTTTTTTAAAGATATTTAGGAACTTTTATTTACCTAAATACAAAATATTTTTGTGTGTATGTGAGTGAATGAACATGTCTTTTGCTACTGTCTCCCAAGACAATATTTTTTTTTCTTACTCTTTCAGGCTTTTCTTGTGGTAAGCTGGGTTTGGAAAGCATGATAACTATTTTAGATCACTAGGGTACTGTTTGATACAGAGTAATAAGAGTTGCAACTAGAGAACAAAATGAGTACACAAAAAGTCAACATTATTTGGCTATGGTTATTTTCTATGAAGATACTGGATCTGTTTTTTTCTATGAAGATATTGAACCTGGTTTATTAACTAATGTGCTATTAGTAGAAATGCATAAAATATTGGCGTTAAAACAGACTTAGAAATGTACCTAGTCATATGCATTCTGATAATAGTGGCCACCCAACATTTTGTCCACTGAATCACAGCACTTTTAAGTTGGCTATGACATTGCATCTTTTCCTTGAAAAGTGCAAAAGAATTTTTAGTTTCATCTCCATGGACTTTATAAGCACACAGCAACCAGAGACCTTTGAATAGGGTGAGCTCAAGTTTAGCATTTTTGCTACACTTCATTCCTGCTATTCTTCCTGTTTCAACTATTTAAGTACTTTTCGAGTTGGGAAAATATTCTTTATATTAAATAAATTGCTTCATTTGGAATTATAAACTACATTGTCACACTATTATTTTTATTCAATTGTTTTCTGATTTTTATGTAAGAGGTTTTTTTTTTTAACTTGATGGAAATGGTACAGATATTTGGAAAAGGAAAAGAGAACATCCCCCCCTGCCCCCTGGTCTTTATAGTATGAACCAGAGTAAAATAACTCATGTATGGTAGTCAATAAAAGATAGGGAAAATACTCAATATGAGGATTATAATACCCTAGAGTCAGGATGTGTGCAACTAAATAATTTTGTTTAGGTAGCTTAGATATTCTAAAGCTCTGGGTGTGCTGGAAAATGGATCTCTTATTTTTCTGGGCAATATATTCCCTGGTTCAGAGTATGAGCTTGGAAGACAGATTTCCTTGTATTGGATTCTTAGCTTTGCTGAGTGAAGGCTGTTTAAATCTCAACTGTATGACTATGTACAAGTTATTTAACCACTCTACGCTCCAGTTTTTTCAACTTCAAAATTGTGATTATAATGAGAGGGCTATTTTGAGGCTTAACAAGTTAATAAATTGAATAAGTATGAGGCTTAAGAAGTCACTTTTTATATAGTAGATGTTCAATAAGATTTTAGCAACACACTTAACTTAGAGACTCAGTCTAGGGAAGATAGTGGGGATTTGTAAATAAGCCCAGAAATGTATGGTAGATTAGGAAAGCTAGTCATTCAATAAAAGAAAAATTATCTGTTTTATGTTTTGGAAGATGCAGGCAGCATCATCTATCAAAGGAAATGATTAAGTAACACACACCTTACCTAGTTGAAGTGGACTGACATGTATCTCTGAATCTATGACCAAGCTTGATGCTGTTGATAATTTGCCAGTCAGCTCTGTGGGTGAATGTAATTTGATCTATTAACTTGACTGAGCCAAGGAGTGCCCAGATTAAACGTTATTATCTCTGTGTGTGCTTGTGAGGGTTTTCTGGATGAGACTGGCATTTGAATCAGTGGGCTCAGATTGTCCTCTTCAATGCAGGTGGGCATCATTCAATCCATTAAAGGTCTAAATAAAACAAAAAGCAGAGAAAGGAGAAATTTGTCTCTTTCTGATTCCTGCCTGCCTACTCAAGCTGGGACAGTGGTCTTTTCCTGCCCTCTGACTGGGATTTATACTACCGCCTCCTCTGGCTCCCAGGTCTTCACATTCAGACTGGAATTCTATCGCTGGCCTTCATGGGTTTCCAAGTTGCAGATGGTAGATCATGGGGCTTCTTGGCCTCCGCAATTGTGTGAGCCAATTCTTCATCATTAATATCTTTCTGTAAATATAAATATATTCTGTGGAGATCCCTGCCTGACTATACAGTGAGTCAGACATAGGCAATCTCAAAGAGAAACATTTAAACCTAAAATCTATAAACCTCCAGGGAGAGCTGAGAGAGTTCTGGAGAGGTCAAATACTATCCAATTCCATCAATACAGTAATAGAGCATGTGGCAGCCACAATAGCAGAATATCTCTGCAGCAAGAGACATTGACTTAAAGCTTCTAGCCCTAGCACCAATGGCAACAACACAACATTTGCCATAATAAAGAGAGACTTTATGTCATGGCAGCTTCTCCGGATTCTGGTCACAGCCAATTATATGAACATAGATGAAATTCATTCACAATGAGAATTGTTACAAATGCAATTCAAATCAGATTGTCTGGAAAGAGCTCAGTTCATTTGATCCACTTTTTCTAAAGATCAGAGGGAAAATACAGACATTTAATGTGACTTCCAAATATATGTTCCTTTACTTGGCATACTTTGTTGGAAAAAACAGATTTTGGTGAAAAGTGGCTATGTGTGCTATGTATGTGTGTGGGGGAAGGTGGGGCATGAGAGTGCCAGGAGTGAAGGACAACAGTGTTAAATAAGTTTGGTCTTTCAGTGTACTTTGTTCATTGTTCTAGAGCTTAACACATTCTTACCAGGCTGTTTGCCTACTCCCCTAAGGAAAAGTTAACCAAAGAAGGAGCCAGTCTTGAATCTAACTCAACATGGAACATATCTGAGCCCTTCATGAAGAGAAATTATGTGGACTCAAGTGCAAAATACATTTGATATTTTAATAGAGAATGATATGATTACATGAAGAGACCATGGTATAAAATTTAGTTTAAGAAGAAGAACATAAGCCTTAGATTATGGCTAGATCTTGCTCACTTCCAAACTCTGTCAGTTAATAGCTATGTGCTCCAGGGCAAATTAACATTTCTGAGACTCAGATTCTTCATTTAAAAATGAAGATAATAACCCTTCATTCACTGGGTGATTGTGACAACTAAATGATGTCATTCCAATTAAATGCTTAGTGGAGTGTTTGACAAATGACAAGAGTGCAATATATGCAAGTATCGTTTGATATTTTATCTGGTGCTTATCTCTCAGTCCTCAACTTTATTTATTTTATGATTTCTATGTTTATTTCTATGATTTCTGTAATACATTTGAACTTCAGGGAACAAAGCAAGAAAAATCCTCCATTCCATGTTAAAAATATGTCAACAGTATGAAACATAACCTGGATATTCCTATGCAGGACTCACTTTCAAACAATGTAGAAACAACCCAGTGAGTACAAGCATGCTACAGAGCATTCTTCATAGATCACAGGACTTCTTCCTGCCTAAACAGAAAAGTTCTGGTAGGATTTCTGCATTGACACCCCAGACTCTTCAAGATATGGGTAGCTTAACCACAAGCTTTTCTCCTAGAAGTCAAGCATAAACCGGGCTCGGTGGCTCAGCCTGTAATTCCATGCCTTTGGGAGGCTGAGGTGAGTGGATTGCCTGAGCCCGTGGGTTTGAGACCCGCCTGGGCAGCGAGACCTCATCTCTACAATAAATCAAAAAATCAGCCGGGCGTGGTAGCGTGCGCCTGTAGTTCCAGCTACTTGGAAGGCTGAGGCAGAAGGATTGTCGGAGCCCAGCAGGTCGAGGCTGCGGTGGCCGGGAGCGGCCACTGCACTCCAGTCTGGGCGACAGAGTGAGACTCCAACTCAAAAAAAAAAAGTCAAGCATAATGACTATCAAGAACATTTCCTTGCCTATAGAGTACTAATCCAAGAGCCACAAAATATCTCCTATTAATTAGGTGCTTATTATTTATCAAACACTTATCCTTTTAAAATTAAATAACCCAAAAAAGAAAGCATAGTTTTAAAGTCCCCTCCTTTTTTTTTTTTTTCCAATGAGGACAAAGGTACAAATAAATTATATTTTCCTATACAGTAACTAAATGGTGGAACTAGGATTTTAACCTGAGAGTTGTACTTTAAAGCTTAAGCTATAATCCCTGACTTCCTTAATTATATTACATCACTGGTCATTAGAGTAGCTTCAAATGTTGGGAAAAATATTTGTGTTATATGAAAGGTCTGTACAAATAATTTGATTGAAATGATTTGTCTGGGTATATTGTATTGTGTGAGATGGAAGAGGAAACAATCAGATAATTAGTATGATTAACTGAATGACTAATTTGTAACTCAGGAATAAATACAATAAAGGAAATGTGCATTTTTTCATTGCGTTTGTAAACTACTATACACTTGAAATATCTTTCAAAAGGAACAAATATTAACCTCAAGTCATGTGAAATTGACAGTCTAGGTTCCAGGAAAGGTGTTTAGATGGTATACATCTAAACTATATACCTACAATAGGAAATTTATTATCTTCATGTTAGTAATTTTGTTTACTATATACCTTTCAGTCTTTATTCTTTGTTAGTTAAGTGAAGCTTCTTTTAACAATTTTGAGCTCATTGTAACACTAATGAAATTGGACTTTATCCCACACTAGATGAGAATTACCAATACTTCTCTTTAAGCCAAAATATTCTTTCCTAGTTCTGCTTTCTGTTTCTGTTTTCAGAAGTTCTACTTATTCCCTCAGCTTGACATTCTTTCACCTAGAAAGTGTTTCTAGAATCTTCCACTTGAACTCAAATC